TCAAAATGTTGTTTTTAATAGATAGGTGTAGTTGGCGATTATGGGCTGTGGTTCTATGGCGCTAGTTTTACTTGGATGGGAAAACAGAAGAAAATAATTTCCAACAAAAAAGACACAGCCTTAAGTTTGAGCAGAAAAGCGATCGACTTTAGTTGGATTAGGCGGATTGGGACTGATGAGTCAGTTTACCATTGAGTCAAAATTGAGCCACTATGCAATATCACATTTAGGCTACACTAACTGTAATATTTTGAAATTATACCAATCTTCAAAGAAACCAGTTAAGTTGCATCCTCATGTTTTGTGCATAAATATATTTCTGGCATAACAGCATACCAGTACACTATTTATATACTATTGTATAATTATATTTATTGTTACTTTATACTATGCAATATGTATTATTAATTAATATGACTGAATATGCAACTCCAATGGCATCGTTTGTCTCAATCTCTTGCCGATTTCAATAAAACTGCATGTCATCACAAGTTTTTCAAGACGAAACTAGGTCAAGGCATGCTGAATTGTTGTCTTTATTTCCATCTCAAGATGCTCTAGAGAAGAAACTAACATATAGCTAACAGTCTTTAACAGCCACAAATGATCTGAAACATAAGAAATGTTGAACACTTTAGACTACCTATATAGCGTCATTTGCGCAAAATATTAAAATTCGCCATATGCACCGCGTTTGTTGGTTTCACTATAATTTTAATACGCCATGATGAAATCGTGTTCATCTTATGACGTCACACGACATCAACATGGCGGTTCAAAAGTTCGCACAGGAAGTGCCAAAAATGGCCACTTTGGAAGGCTATAAAATCGGTTGACCAATTGACCAATTTCAATTCTCTTTGTGGTAAATAGGTCAGGAAGGAAAGCACTTTCAATTAAGCTAAGAAAATGTGGGTCGAAAATTTCGCTGCAGTAGCACAAAATGTCCAGTGGCAGACACCATTCATTTGGTACCTGACACTTTGTCAGCATCGTTGTAAATTTATTTTCAGGCTTGTTGATTGTGTATGTGCAAGGTACATTATATTAAGCGTGTATGAGGTAAGATGTTTTAGGGAGGAATGGATGATCAGTTTAAAACACAGATCCGTCTGGACGAATTTGGGCAAAGAATAGTTGGTTTGTCTGATCATGATTTGTCTGTGTTAATGCTCAAGACTTTAGTTTTAAAAACAGTTATATTAATGGTTTATATATACTGCCTTTGTAAGGTGTGCTATTTTATGACGTTTTTAACGTTTGAAAGTTGGAAATTTTATCAGAAAACGTCAAAATCGCGATATGGCGGATTGGTTATATTGTTTAATGTTTCAAACAGTTTTTTCCGAATTTTTCCTGGTTTTTTTCCTAAAACAACATCGGTTGAGTCGTTTTTCAAAAAACATCGTTTTTTTCAGGTTTATCGATTATAATAACCGCCTCACCCTGGTCCTTAGTATAAACGCTGGCAGACTGACAGGAGAACGCCAGACTATCGAGTTAGGATCCCAGTTAGGATTCATGATAATTCGAATTACGTACTGCATGCTGATCATTGTATTTTTCTTGCATTAATCTTATTTTTTCTAATGTGAGGTCTTTGAGTCTTAAACTCTTAATAACGAAGACTGTCAGCCACACCAGAAAATTTGTTTTTCCGTTTTGAAAATTAGATCACCATGATCCATTGGAAGAATGTCACGTTTGTGACACCCAATAAAAAACGATGAAGAAGAGAGAAAATCACCATTTTAAGACACTGGTCATTTCGGTTGGTCCTTTCGGCCAGTGTAATTAAGTATTATTTCTATATTATAATTTTTATGCACTGGTATTGTTGTATGTAAATAATATTATTGTTGTAAATATAAATTATTGGTGGGACTTGAAGTACCAAGGGTGCTTTAACCGTTTAAATCGATTTTAAACTGCTTTTGCCAGTCCGTGCTGCAAATTTTTGCGTTTACGTGCCAGTTTGATTTTCGGTGAAATATCGTCTAAAACCTCTCGTATGCACTCATGGTAGTTTCAGTCCAGTCTAGTTCCTTCTGTGCTTCGAGTGTTTTCTTCGCATGCCCCAAGGCTCAAGTTGTAGAGTACTAATGTATCATCAACTTGGGTGAATTGCCAGTGAGTGTAATCGGCATTGAATAAATTACTATAATTTATTTGAATATTTGAATTTTTTTAGATTACCAAAAAGATTTTTCGAATCAGCTCTATCATTCCCTGTCTACTATGTGTTGCTATTTCATTCGCCCAAGGTAAGTTTACTTTAGTTAAACCTGTTACTCTAGGTCGATGGTAAATGATTTACTAAAGTAAGTAGAGGTTTGTTGATTCTCTCCTGGGCTTTGAGGGTTTTCCCCCAGGTATACTTAGATTTTCTCCCTCAACGAAAACTAACCCTTAGTCCTATATAGTTGTTAAACACGTGTATCATGAGCCTCGGGCTCTGGTGAATTATTGGGTAACGATATGATACCCTGTTCCTGTTGTGAATGATGACGATCAACCACCACAAATCAGTGTGTGTCCAACGAAAAGTATTACAATGGCATATATAACAGAAATGCATGTTTCAATTTTGCTGCCAGGAAGAGAAATATATTTTCTAGACTTGCCGATATACCACCAAGCGAAAAAATTTAAAAATACATTGTGCTGAAAATCCCACCCATCTTAGGCAAGCTAATAAAGACAGACAGACAGACAGACAGACAGACAGACAGACAGACAGACAGACACAGACAGACAGACAGGCGGAACAGATTTCATTCTGGGGGGGGGGCTAAATTTTTTCGGCGACCCCCCCCGTCGCCAAAAAAATTTCGGTCAGTGTACCCTTTTAGGGGTACAATATACAAAAAAAGGGACGAAAAAATTTTTTTCGGAGTTATATCTAAAATTTTTTTCCGAAATAGACTTTTTTTAAACAAAATATTGGAAATTTGTCCCCTCATACCTAAATTTTCAAAAAATAACCTAAATTTTTCCGTAATTATCAAATTTTTTTCCAAAAATTCAAATTTTCTGGAGGGCTAAGCCCCCCCACTTTTACTTCTGGGGAGGCTTTAGCCCCCCTAGCCCCCCCTGTTCCGCCGCCCCTGCAGAACACCTTTGAGTGTTAATTTTGCATGGTTTCCATGAAAGCATTAGACTAGTTCAACTATCTGACCAAGTTTGGAGGAAAAATGTTGAAAACTCGCAGAGTTATTTAATAAAATACATTTTGCTTGCAATAAGAAAAACATTGAAAATGTAATATTCAAATTCAATTTTCTCCTGAAGAATTTTACGGCAATTACTGATTTTTAAACAAGTTGTGCTCCTGCGGGTTTTAACGAATTTTTCAAATTTTCACAGGACATAGCTAAAGACGTCAGTTTCAAAACTGTGTTCGACTTTGTTCTAATTTTGGAGATTTTACTAATAAGGAGCAATTCGCACAAACGATTCAGAAATATATTGCAGTCGTCAAAGAAATCGCCATATATCAGCGGAATGACGAAATAAAGAAAAGTTTCCAAACACAATTTTTGGAACAACTATTTTACTGTATAAAAATGATATTTTCAAAACTATATCTTAAAACCAGCAGGAACATAACTCAAAAGCGTAAAGGTACCGCGACTTAAGATTTTCCTGAATAATTCTTACATTATTTTATTGTTTGTCAATTTTACAACTTTATCATATTTTGCATGCACTGGCTAACATTTGGTGATAATTTGATGAAAATCGGACTGATTTTGAGCGCGCAGTAGTGATTTTCCACAAAACGCCAAAAAGGTTGTCCTGTAACCTTAATAGTTGCTCGTACAGAATTCGCTCCATAATTTTGCTAATGACAGGCAGAACTCAAATTGGTCTGTAATTTCCTGGCAGGTTTCGTTGGCCATTTTGATAGAGAGGTATTACTCTAGCCGTTTTCTATTCGTGTGGAAAAAGGAATAGGGTAATAGCTGGATTGAAAATGTATGCGAGTGAATCTGAAATAGCAGGTGCAGCTATTTTACTGGAGATCTTATCGACGCCAGTGGCTTTGTTGCTAGAAAGACCATGCAAGAAATGGTAGACATTACTGACAGTGACTGGCTGGAATGCACTGAATTCTAATTTAGCCTTTTCAATATATGTTTGAACGTTCAAATTTGGAGTATCAATTTTGCTAGCTGTAGATCAGGGCCAATATTTGTATAGGTAATCATGCGATGGCGAGTACAATTAGGGATTAATAGTACGAGTGATGTTTGGAAATTTTGCCAAAATTGGACGAGCCGCCGGGGTGAGTCCAATTTGGCAAATTTCCAAACATCACGAGTACTATTAATCCCTAATTGTACGAGCAACATCGCATGATTATTTGTTTATTATTAGCATGACAAAATTGGATACGTACTTCTCAATGTCAGCATCATATTCTCTCGCCAAAGCCCAGTCCTGCCAGACTTTCAACCAAAATTTGGTGCTTTTGTTTGTATTTTCATTTAGTTCTTTTGTTAAAGCAAAATTTGGTGCTCGTGTTCGTATTTTCATCTAGTTCCTCCACGGCAATTTCATTTCACGCTTGAGTTTAAAATACGTTTCCGCCATTTTGTTTGTTTTGGGAAAATCATTAATTGTACTGCAGTACAATTAATGAAATAATTGTACTCCTCTCAACCAATCAGCATCCAGTAATTTTGTCATGCTAATAATAAGAAAAATAATCATTAAAGCCCTCCGCAATCAATATCTTTGGTATTTGTCAAACTATTTTCACCTAATTTTAACTCATTTACTACTGTTGGTTTGCTTTGCCTACCTAGTATATTGTTTATAGTTTTCCAAGCCTCTTTAGGAGCTAGCTGGTATATCCCTGATGGTGACACTTGACTGGTTGATGGAAACGTTAGAATTATCTGTTATACATAATGAGCTCCTGTACTTTAAATTCGAAGCCTAAATACCTGATATATTTTCAGTGGAACAAAAGTACTTGTGATCTTGACTTTGAAATGTTTCTTTGTTTAGATAAATTCTTCTGCGATTTTGAAGATCCTAACAGTTGCCAATGGACACAAGATAAAAGTGATGATTTCGATTGGACCAGAAATCAAGCTTCTACACCATCAGAAGGCACTGGTCCACTTACAGATCATACCAAAGGTTCAGGTAAGTGTTATATTATGTTGGTTGAGATACCACTACCATCACTTTCATCATCATCATATTCACCATCATTATCACCACCACCAGCGCTATCACCTTTTCACCAGCATCATCACCACCCATAATGATCAACATCACCACTACAAACATCATCATGACAGATATCACCACCATCATTACCATCAAAGTTCTATATCCGCTGACTTTTTATTTAATTAAAGATTCTTGTTTTAAAATATTTTTTACTTGAAATATATTATATTTCAATTTTAAAATGTAAATCTATTACATTGTTTAACCGAAGATGGATAATTAACAATTATTCTGGGAACTCGAGTCGTATATGAGCTAATATACGACGAGGTGCGTAGCACCGAGTATCTGCCTTATACGACGAGAGTAAGTAGAATAACTGTTTTGTTATATAGACAACTACTGAATTCACAGACTCATCTGTATGGCAATATTTTGACAGTCAGTTCAACAATCAACAGAACTTGCCCTAAACCTGATAAACTACTGCTGCTATTTATTTAACTAATACTTCAAACATTGCTGAAAAACTCGAAATTGTTAGGCATATATATTTAAAGCTTTTAGAGCTAGAAAACAAGTGCTTGTTGATTTCAAATCTATGAATTGACCTTGTTTTTAGTTCAGTTTCGTTTCTTCAAAACAATTATATTCTTATATTCTGTTCATCTTTTTATCTTCGCTTTTTCAACATTATTTTGTTTTGAAATTAGTACATTTTTTAACTAGTTTAAGTATTAAAAATTCATTTATTAATTAACCTGTAAACAATTGCTGGAAGTATTTTCAATGTGTTTTTTATTTCTGTTAATGCTATAAAAAGCAAATAACCTGCTGTTTTCTCGTTCAAAAAACTACGGTAATTTTTGAGCTGCCATCTTGAACCACCACCGTCATAACCATAACCACCATCATAACAATAAACACCACCGCCATCACCAACATGAACACACACCATCATTGTTACGAATATAAAATTTCTATCATATAAACAAATTTTGGTAAAGATAAGTTTTGAGATAACATCGCTACTTTGAAGTTCTCAAAATTCATGTTTTTTTATTCTAGGCCCTCTGACAAACAAGAAACAAGGTCCCGGCTCCATACAGCATAGCGGAGGCTTGTGTATTCATGTTTTACGGGGCGCTCATACAAGACCAATAGAAGGACAAATCCTTGTGACATATGTGAGATGTGGAGAAGACAGGCTGGAGTTCCAGCTCTTGCCGAATGGGATACTGACACTTACTAGATATGCCATGTGCGTAAAGCCTGTTGGCCTGGTGACTGATGGAGTGCTGGTTGGTAAACTAGTTTTGAAATATATTTCTTGTTTTGAGATGTACTTCTTGTTACAATGTGTTAACGCTGAACGAGAAAAAACAGACAGGATGGATTATAGATATGACCTATTCAATTTCTACTAACTTTATTTTCACTGGATACCTTACCTACCTATACCTATACCTGCCTACCTACACTACCTACCTACCTACCTATACCTATACCTACAATCCTGGCAAAAACTAATGAAACATCCAGTTTGATTAACAATTTAATTTATTCTTCCCCCCTTCCCCCCTTCCATGAATGTTGATTAAGATGAGCAAGAACCTACACATAGTGCTATCTGCCATCGATGAACTATTGTACACAATTTTTTAGAATCTATGTCCAACATTGTGCAGGGGGAGGGGATTTTGTCTGTTTTATTGATTTTTTATAGGTGTTTCATTAACTTTTTGCCAAGATTGTACCTACAGTACCTACATACATACATACATACTGTACACACATACCTATACCTATATATACCTATACATATTTACCTTACCTACCTACATATTTACCTGCTTATGTACATACCTTCATATTTGCATATTTACCCTACATATTTACCTACCTACATATTTACCTGCCTCTTTATTTCAAGGTGGGTGTTTTCAGCAGTTGTAATGTGACAGACACGTGGAATTGGACTGCCCAAGGATCACTGCAGTACAAAAAGAAAATGTGTCTTAAGCCTGAATATGGGGTGGACCCAAAGAGTAATGAAAAGCTCGTGCTTTACTCAGTCTGTAACGAGCGACAAAATTTCTTTGAGTTTGTGCCCAGTAAGTATCTCTCAGTGCTTTATCTAACTGGACTATCTCACGTGAATTGTCAAAGGGAAAGTAAAAGGCGATGGCAATCTGTATGCCGTTTACATGCCACTAACTAACTTTATACATACGTACTGGGAGCTGTATCAATTCTTTCGAGTTCCAGTAAGGGTTATTCCTTATTCATTTAGTCTTACTACAGAAGGAAACCTAAACTATATCAACTTTTATGCTGGGTAGCTCATTCACTAACTTTATTTATACTGGGTAGCTTTTATTGGTCTATTTCTATAAACTGTTCTTTGTAGAAATCCAGTAAGGACCATTCCTTATTTGTTCAGTGTTACTACCGAGTACCCGAGAAATCTTGCGCTGTTTGGTAGAGACAAACCATGGATAGTGTTTTTATGATTTATGATCAAACAGAAGCACTCTTCTCACATTGGAACAAAGGGAAATTAAAATCCAACAACTGCATTAGTATTGCAGAAAGAATTCAATGCACCAAATACTATGCTACTAAAACTTTCCTGCAGGCTCCCTTAAATCTAGTACTTTCTCTAGCTTTTCAGGCTTAACCTAAATCACGTTTTCCATTTCAGCATCTGGGTGGTATTTATACATCGAAGCCTCATCACCAAGGCGACCGAACGACATAGCTCGATTGATCTCACCATCGACAACAAAAGCCAAATCCTGTTTCCTCTTTTTTTATCACATGTTCGGCCGTGACGTGGGTAAACTTCAGGTATTTATTTTGATTTATGTATTTATTAACTTTCCGAAACGGGTCCACATGCGAGTGTCATGGCATCGGGTGATCAAGGTCAACATAAATAAACATAGTATATCATATACAATAAAGATCCCTTGTCGCGGAGTGAAAGCTTTGGTGCATGATGAAGATTCTGAAGTGAGCAAACCTATACTATACCATATTTTCTCGATATTTGTGGTATCAAGTACTTTCCAACTTATCGCAGAGGCTGAAATAACATTCAAAAATTGGCATACATATACACTATATCAAATATAGAATACATAATTATACGCTATCAAAACAAGCCATATAAAAGAACGGAAGAACTCACTATCAGAACACGCAATCGAAACTTGCGGTACTCGGTACAGTAAACTGTAAGGTATCCTACATAAACATTTTTTATAACATAATACCGATTTAACAATATATACTCTACATAAACATAGTAGTATATCATACGTAAAAATTCCTTGTCGGAGTGAAACTTTTGGTGGCGAAGATTTTGAAGTGAACCAACCTAGGCCTATATACTATATTATATTATATTTTCTCAATCTTTGTGATATCGAGTACTTTCCAACCTATCGTAGAGCCTGAAATAACATAAATATATGTGTAAAATTTTAGGTCTACGTGAAATCTGGGGGTAAGATGGTCAGATTCTGTGTGGAGTCTTTCTGTTATTTTTTGTTCGGAAAAATGTCTGGCCAATCTGGCATTCGATCGGAAAAACTATAATTTGGTCGGAAAATGTCCGACTGCTATTTCAGGCTTTTCTATCGTGAACTGAAACACATTCATACACTGATAAATATATATATTTACAATTTCAGGTCTACGTGAAATCTAGGGGTAAGATGGATTCTGTGTGGAGTCTTTCTGGAGATCAAGGTAACGAATGGCATCAAGCACAAGTGGCTGTGAACAATCAAACGGTGTCATATCAGGTGAGTATGCATGTATAGACCAGTGATCGAACACTAAACTTAACTGAATGTAAAGAATAACAGATATAGGTGGCCCAGGTGTGTATAGACCTGCTTGTTCAAGTGCTAAATATTTCTGAAGTTCATCTACCAGTTAACGGAAACGATCCCACTTTTCTACTTTTTTGCAGTATGTAATCGAAGGTGTATGTGGTAAAGATTACAGGGGAGACATTGCAATTGATGATATCTTTCTTATTCATTCATCATGTAGAGGTAAGTTCAGGGTTCGTAGCGGTCTTTGAAATCCTTGAAAGTCTTTAAATTCGAATTCAGGTCTTTAAGGTCTTTGAAAAGTCTTTGAATTGTGTGAAAAAGTGAGAAAGTCTTAGAAGTCTTTAAATTCTTTAGTGAGTATCTGATTATACGATTTCCTAGCTAATAAAATAGATTGATTGAAGCAAAATTTTCGCAAATATGGACGAAAAAGTGCATTTTAGGATGTGATTTGACGGGACTAATTTCCTGGTAAAAAGGGTGCTTATACACTCAATGACCTGGTTTCTGCACTTCGCTTGGTAGAATATTAGAATGCTGTTTTTAGGATTTGTAATCCAAGTGAGTATATATACACTTTAAGATCTAACAGGGACGACTGCAAAAAAATGCAGAGGACCTTGTGCTGCATTTTTGCAGTTGTTCCTGGTTATAGGTCTTAAAGCTAGACTATATAAGTGAATGTATATAAAATCACTTGGATTACAAACCCTAAAAACAGCATGCTTACACATGCACTCTCAATTTTTCGAGAGCTGATTGCATGCTCTCAAAGCTCTTTGAAAATAGGCAGAAAGAATCTTTAAAAGTCTTTGAATTATTTTGGTCTTGGAGACTACGAACCTTATAAGTTATACTTGTGTACTACTATTGTTCCCAATAAACTGCGAAACAACCGTTTTTTTAGGCGCTTTGTCAGTGACAGTTTTGTCAATTGCAAAGGACATATTTGTGTACCACGCGATTACAATTCTTTCATTACAATTCTTTGCAAGCGGCGTGTG